AAGTCTTCGGCCTTGTCAAAATGGGTCGTCTCTGGGCTTTGACATTCACTCCTGTCATTCCATGACTTCCAAGTTCTGTCAAAGAGGGGCAACTGTAGATACCCTATTTTTGACCGTCCTCAAGACTGGGACATCATCGCTTGTGCATATGATGATTATGTTTGTTTTTGTTCGTTTTGAGTGCCCGAGTCCTCGGCGAAACGCTCTGTCTTTGAGCCTTTAGACCATGTCCTTTCTGTGCCTTGTTTTGGATCAAAACTTGGTGTGGCCGACCACCACCAAAGGCTGTCGGCCATGGCTTGTGCTTGTGGGCCACTGGTGTGGCTGGTCGGCCACCAGTGGTGGCCAGTCGGCTACCAGTGGTGGCCAACAGCCACCAATGTGCTTTTCCAGATATTTGTTGACAGTTGTGCCAGCTGTTAGCATACTGAGCTGCATCTCCCTACACACGTATGGTAATGGTAGAATGTTTCTAAGCTCAAGGCATGTTTTTTTTTATATATACGGAGGTTTCTCCCCCATTTTTTAGGGTTAGAAAATTTAGAGCAAAAATCTCTCTCTCTAGATTTCTCTCTCTCTCTCTCTCTCTCTCTCTCTCTCTCTTACAATTTTATGCCTAATTGCTTATTTTCTCGACATTTTTGCATACACATCCTAAATCAAATCCTCTTACCTTTGAGCTGAGGTTATTTGGGATCTTCTTGGAGCTCTTGAAGGTAGTTTTAGCTTGGTTTTGTGCCTAGAATTGCCCTTTGCTTCAAGAGGTAGTTTACTTGCCTTGTTTACTTTGTTTCACAAACTTGTTTTACCATCTTTTCTTACTATTTTGGAGCTGGTTTTGAACTGAAAAAAAAACTCTATTTTAGTGGCCTAAAAGTGCTGGTTTGGGCCTCTTTTTTAGTTAGGGAGTGGTTCACCCTTATTGCTTATTAGTTTGTAAAGCTTTTGAGTCTTTATTCATCACTTTCAAATCACTTTCAAATCAAATTTTTGGGGCCTTTAACCACTGAATTTCAGAGGTTTTTCAGTGGCAAAAAACTCATTTTGAAGTCCAAATTTTGAGGGGTTAGCCTCCTCTCCTTGTGTCTTGTTTGCATGCCTAGTTGGCTCTATATGTTAGCATATTTTTCTAGCTTAACTTAGCTCAAGTTCAGCATGTGTTAGCCTCTAAAATAGCCTATTTTAGCTCTGTTTTGGGCTACTTAGTTCATTTGAGTCTTGTTTTGCATGGTTATAGTGTAATAGTCCTCACAATTTGGTGTTTTAGGGTCTTGGACACCTCTTGTTTGAGTTGATAGCATCTTTTGGTGTTGCTTTTCATTCCATTTCTGCACTATAAGCTCTGTAACCTCCCCCTTTGCTTCACTCTTTCATTTTCTTTTGAGGGTTGTTTCAAGCTTGGGATCCTTTAAGCTTGAGATTGAGGTCATGCTTAATAGTTTAATCCTCTTTGAGGGTTCATTATCAAAGGCATGACCTCTCTCTTGCCTTACATTATCCCTTGATTGACGTTTCTTTCATCTTAGAGGACACTGACCAAAGGACAAATTGATTAAAGAATGATTTGGTAACTAAATGTGTAAACAAAATTGGCAAGTGAAAGGGGCAAGATAATCATTTCTTTGTATTCCATTGTATGTGTTCAAATCGGACGTTAATTTGAGCACATGGGAAATGGGACATTTCATACTCAAAAGTGATGAAATATGCCACTTTCCTAGGTCTTCGTTGCCCTTGATCATGCATGATAGGGTGATGGCATTTGAGTCTTGTGTTTGTATTCATTGAACTTGTACAAATTGGTCCCTTAGCCATCATGCATGGAAATTGCTTGATTGATGGTTTGAGGGCCCAAATGTATCACTCATTTGAGCTTGTGTTGATGATAAGGGGTGATACACAGTACAAACAACCTGTAAGAATACCCTTTCTTGGCCTTATGTGCTTTCTGTTACAGCAAAAATGGTGTATCATCAGTGGCATGCCGCCCGCCAGTGATGGACGGCAGCCCCTCAATGGTGGCTGGCCAGCCACCACTTCTGGCCTGCCGGCCACCAATGAATTTTGAACAGTGTGCTTGTGAAGCATGGCAGGGTTGATCTGGAGAAGGAAACAGTACAAGGGTTGTGCAAACAGAAGCATTCGAGGGAAAAATAGGATGTTCTTCGGTTGGAAACCAAGCATACATGGGCCTCCCTCACATCCCGTACCGAGTTATCTTGTTAATTAGTTTGATTTAATTAACCTATGATTAGCCTATGTTGTAATTCAATTAGTTTGTGTTTTAATTATTTAATTAGTTAGTTGTAGCTAATTAATTTGTGTTGTAATAATTAGTTAAACTAGTTTAGTTAATTAATTCAAGTTTTGTAATAATTTGCCTAATTAGCTTAATTAGCTAAGTTTAGCTAGTTAGTTAGCTTTTATTCATTCGGACTCTCCTTCGCGAGGGCGAAATGTTGTAATAAGTGTGTGTGCGTGTGTGTATGTCTTCCAACCCCACGTCTTTCTCCCTTTTATTTACTTGCTTATGATGGTTAGAATAGGGACATGTTTCAATTAGCAAACCTTATGCTCGCATCCATTCATTCGTATTTCATGCACCGAGGCTCAACGCATCATTCAAACCGCATTGCAATTTCAAATAATTCTTTGAACACGTGTTTAACCGGATGTTATCAAATCGAATCATATGCCATATTAGTAGTTGAGCCTAGTAATTGCATATCTCATGTGTTGCATTAGACATTTCACATAGTTAGGAATCATGCATATTTTTCTAACTCATATCTTCTTGGCTTGGAGTATTAGGTGAGTTTTTATGCTTTAGCATACTCGTATGAATGTAAATGTTGCCATGATTAACATGCTTGCTATGAGGCTAAATGATTACTTGTTTAAATGCATGAATGCTTGTGGATAAAGGCTTGTTGTTTGAATTGGAACGATTCAACGAATGTGCGTTTTAAGCCCACTATGTCTAGTGGCAAATCAGTTTTAAGCCCACCATGTTTGGTGACAAATTGCAAACTTTAAGCCCACTTGAAGTGGCAAATTCAAACCATTTTCGCAAACAAACATGAGTTGAATTGTTCCAACTTGAGCAAACTAGTCTATACTTGCTTGTGCGCATCACGTAGTAATGCTAGCCTAACAACCGGAACAAGAGCAAATAATGTTTATAAAAAATCATATCATGATTAGTAGAGGCCGATCTTTGATCGGGCAAGCGCAGGTGCTTAATTCATGACCTTCCCCTCTCATACCTAAGTTCCCGAGCCGAGGCAACTTTGGTGATGACGGACACATGGCCTTTGGCACGAGTCATGGGTTTCCTAAATTTTTCCAAAAATAAAATATATAGGTGGCGACTCTGTATCTGGCAAACAGTCCAATTTTGATACTTTTTTATTCAAAATCAATTTTCCAAAACGATTTGCCAGATTTAGACTTTTTGGTGTTTATCAGTTTCACATTACACTTGTGAGATTATATTTAGAACTGCGGGAGTTCGAACTGTAGAGCTTTCTTTTCGAGCTTCCGAAAGGGGGCACGAAAAAGCCGAGCTATAGATTGATTCAACTCTTTTCAAGAGTCTAATTGGAAGTTTACGGTACTTGACTTGCACAAGACCGGATATTCTTTTTGGAGTTGGGTTAGTAAGTCACTTTATGGAAACACCAACAATGACTCACTTTAAGGTTGCAAAAAGAATTATTCGTTATGTTAAAGGAACAATTGATTTTGGCTTATCTTATTCATCCTCATTGTGATAGTGATTGGGCTGGAAACTTGGATTATAGAAGAAACACTACTGGCTTTGTGTTTTTCTTAGGAAATACAACTTTTACTTGGAGTTCAAAGAAAGAACCAATAGTAGCACTTTCTACTTGTGAAGCTGAGTACATTGTTGCTACATCATACACTTGTCATGCAATTTGGCTGAGGAATTTGATGAAGGATTTGCAATTTTCACAAGAGAAAGCAACATAGATCTTGGTTGATAACTAGTCAACAATTGCCTTGGCCAAGAACCCAATGTTTCATGATCGAAGTGAACATATTGATGCGAGGTGTCATTTTGTAAGAGAATGCATTGCGAAGAAGGAGGTACAACTCAAGTTTGTGAAATCTAATGATCAAATTGTTGACATATTCACAAAGCCTCTCAAGTATGAAGACTTCACCAAGTTCGGACTTACAGAAAGCCAAGTTTAAAAGGGGGTGTTGAAATAATAAACATGATTTTAGTTCAATTAATTTACACACTTTCTAGAAGTATCTATTTATATTTTATTCATGTATTGTCAATGTTCATGTATTTTTGAGATTCATGTATTCATAGGATGAATGTATCTAGGAAGATTCATGTATGGTACATTGGATGTGGAAGATGTATTGTGATGACCTAAATTTTTTAAAAAAATAAAAAAATAAATAAATAAAAGATAGAGAGATCAGGATCAAAATGTGTGGGGCAATGGAATGTTTTCTTTCGAGAGAAAAGGCTGGGACAAGAGTGAGTGGGAAGGGTTTCATTTAAGATATCTCTCTCTGGCCACTCATTGACTTGCACCACTATTAATGATAAACATAACTTCTCAAGACCTAGGGGATATCTCGGATTCTTAACTCGGTGCCTTCTTGTCAAAATCCTTATAAGAACTCCTTTACTTATCATTGTCTCCAAGATGACAAAAGCTTACAATTTGATGATGCCATCCAATTTCTAGAGCAATGTAAAAAGGAAAGGGCATGAGTTCTTGTCCACTGCATGTCTGAAAAAAAAAGCAGATTGCCAGGCATTGTGATAGCTTTTTGATGAAGAGCAAAGGATGGAGACTTGCACAGAGTTACCAATGGGTGATAGATCAGAGACCACCTGTTGAATTAACTCAAGCTGTCTACCGACAATTACAGGAGAATGAGCAGAAGATCTTTGGGTTGATTAAGAACAACACGGGGATCTTGCCAGTCTTCACTCCTTCAGCTTCGGCCTCCCAAAGCCAAACGATCCGGTCCTTCTCCCTGCTTTCAACAATCCCAGTGCTCCGTCCATTTTTGCTCGTCCACTATTAGACATTGCTCCTCACGAGTTCACTTTTGGTGCAATCCAGACTCATCAAAATCCATCTAGAGTCCGTTTTGGGGAAAAACCCGCCTAACCCAAATAGCAACGATATTGATATGGATGGTTCGTGATTTCAATGTGTTTCATTTTATTCCTTCTTCCTCTACTTCTCCTCTGCCTCTCGACGATCCCAGGGATGTGCTGAATAGTATTCACCCTCCAAGGCCAGATTGGTATGAGGAATTATATGTATTTATCTTGGATAAGGGCAATGAAGCATATGAGACAGAGGTTGCAGGTTTTAAGTCTCAGATCTTTACAAATTTGAGGGGAAAGGCTAAGACAGTGTTGGAGCTTGGCATTGGGATAGATCCTAATCTCAAATATTATGCCGGTGATAATGGTGTTCATGTTTTTGACATAGATCCCAAAAGAAAGATGATTCATGATGGGACCCCACCACAGCTTGGAATTCTGGGTTCTCCATCATTTGATCTTGGAATTTGATTATCTTTAAGGATATCCTAATTATTTAGAGTTCATTTAACTGCCGAGGACAATTCCTTGAAATTTTTAGAATTGAGAAATGTCGGTTGTTGCAAGTCAGGTTCTGCTGGGGTTGTAAATTGAAGTGCTTTGGATCAAAACGTAAAGGGTGAAAAAGGCGTTGTTTGGCTCCAAGAAAATTTAATTTCTATTGCCAAAAAAAAAAAAATTTTTGAAAGCTTCTTGGCTTGAGGTAAGGATTTTTCCTACACTTCTTTATGTACTTTTACTTGATTATATGGAGTTTAGAGTTGCATATAATTTAATTAGAATTTTTGGAAATTTTGTGATTTATTTGCTTAAAAGAGAAATTTTGAGAAAAATAAAAAGTTGATGCCCAAATTACGAAAGTGTAAACTTGGAATATGTTTGTATGGTTATGAAAGAGCTGTGTTTTAAATTTGAACAAAAACAGACTTCGACTCGATCGGTTTTGAAATTTTTACCGGTTTGCGACCAAAAGAGTATTTTAAAGAAAACAAAGGAATTATGTTTAAATTTTGGGGTTTTTAATCAAAATAGGAAGTCATAGTTGAATAATTCTTGGAGAATGAGTTTGGAAAGAAAATGATATTTTCTTGGGAATTAACGGTATTATTTTGCTTAATGTATCTGTTGGAATAAAACCGACACGGTTTGAAATGGACCTTGAGAGGTTACTAGACGTGATTGTAATATGAAAACTAGTGTAGTTGTTCATATTTGATGAGATGTGGAATAGATTGTATCTGTCGAAATTTTTTTTGAAACTTAATTGTTTAAATATCTGTTTAGAAATATCTATTTTGAATTATCGGTAGAGGATAGCCATGATTGTTGTAGAAATGCATGAGACTTAGGTAAATTGAACCACATTCCTCATTTGTTGCATTGGACATTGCATTACATTCATTTCATTGGAAATGTATCTATGTGCGAAAACGATGAATACCTTAGGTGAATCTGGGTAGAGGGTGTTGAAACCCATGGTTAGGTGTCCGAGCCTTCAATTTACTGGTAAAAATGACAATGTAAGTGCTGTAGGTCCTACTTGCAGACACTCACCTAGAGATTCAACAGGGCCCGTATTCATGTAAAGATATGGTTTAAGAATGGAATAAATGTTTAATATTTGTTTACATACTTCATACCATTGCATGCTTTATAAAAAGAGAGGTAATATGTTTTATCATGAGCATGGCCATGAGCATCATCCTCTTAAGTCTGTGTCATTGTTATATGTTGTGTAGTAATATCTCTACTGGCTGGGCGGCTCACCCTATTATAAGGGAAATCACCCCCCCCCCCCCCCCCCCCCCCCCCCCCCCC